TAAACTTACATGTAAATCTATGCCTTAATTCGTACAATTAATTTCTTCATTTTGGTATTTTATTTATACTTGAATCGTCTCATTGATGTTTAGGATTGAAATTGACCAGTCTCTTATTACTGGCATATTTGCATCGTGTGAGGATTGCCTTGATATTGTCTTGATTCACAAGCATTTTAAGCAAGGACGGATGATGGCTAGCATTGGAATCAATAACGTGCATTTCATCCTATTTGGGGCTCGCCAGTTGGATGCACCTGCATTTCAGAGTTGATGTTCACTCCAAGATTCAAACCCAGTACTATTCATTTTAAACGCCATCATGTTATCCACTTAACTACTGAGTCCTTATAGCCAGACAACAGATATCCGATTGCTCATTGCATCTCTATTCACCCTCATTCACTAAGTATTCATTGAGTTTTGCAGTTTATATTGTCGACCATCAACGTTGATGATCTATGTCGAATGATTGGAGGCCTACTCGAGTTAGACGGGAACGGTGTAACGAAGAAGCTATCTTCGAAGTCACACCTCGCTATCAGCGACCTACGTGGATTACCCCATTGAGGTATCAAGGGACCATGGATGCTGTGAAGACTGTACAACACAACGGACGTTATTACAAGAATATATTAGTTAAAGAAGATTCAAGCGAAAGTAGAACCACAGCTGCATTGGTCAGTCCATGGCGTATGATTGACTGATGCACGTTGATTGTCCTTGACCTTGACGAGGATCGATGATCTGTTTGATATTTAGTGACCCAACTGCCGAATGATTTGGCTAGAGTTCATTGACATTTCATTAACCCTACAATATCACAAATTAATCTTCATCAAACAACTATACTCAATCAAGAAGTACAAGAAAACTGTTTCATTCTAGTTTTGAACTACTTTTCAGTATGAATACAATGATCATATCAACCGTAAATTCTTCATTCATTATGACCTTTATCCAATTTTCTTTTTCTTTTCTCTTCACATTTTATAGACTAATAAGATTAATTTCTACTTAATTAAAATTAGAACATGCGATAAGAAGGATTACGTAATCTGTCATGTGTAAATCCCGCCTCACGAGATTCGAACTCAGGACCTATCAGTCTAGCTTTGAACTACTTATCAGTATGAATACAATGATCATATCAACCGTAAATTCTTCATTCATTATGACCTTCATTCAGTTTTCTCTTCACATTTTATAGACTCATTGTTTGACTCATTAATTTCTACTTAATTAAAATTAGAACATGCAATAGGAACGATTACATAATCTGTCATATGTTAATGAACTAAAACAGAACATTTTTATATTCATTCAATGGCTTTGTACTTTTATAATGAAGAATAAAGAAACAAATAATTATGTTATAGAATTGAGATCATGAGTCAGTTGAAGCTAGACCAAAATGGAAAACCTGGAAGCACTGCTTTAAGGCCGTTTCATCCTATTATGGAACTCCTCAACAGTGCGCATCTATGATCCTGACTCGTGAGATTCGAGCCCAGGACCTACCAGTCTAGATTTGAACTATGACCTTTATTCAATTTTCTCTTTTTCTTTTTCTCTTCACATTTTATAGACTCATAAATTAGAACATGCAATAGGAACGATTACATAATCTGTCATATGTTAATGAACTAAAACAGAACATTTTTATATTCATTCAATGGCTTTGTACTTTTATAATGAAGAATAATTATGTAACAGATTTATTGAAGGGGATCCTACTTTCAATCAAGCATAAATTTCAGACATCTAATTATACTAATGAATATCTTTCATAGTTGAAATCATGAGTCAATTGAAGCTAGATCACCGTGGAAAACCTGGAAGCACTGCATGGCCAAAATAGTCCTATTATGAGACTCCTCAGCAATGCGCACGCACGATCCTGACTCGCGAGATTTGAACCGAGGACCTACCAGTCTCGCGCCAGAGCACTTAACCGATAGACCACGGAGCCGGCCGGCACCCAACAGTGTTAATGTCTAACTTCAACCAATCCACGAAGTTTGAGCAACCGTTCACCATTTGTCTTCATGATTTCAACTATGAAAAATACTGAAATCTCCACAAAACCGCTTCTGATTATTGAATATGTGATAACAAAATGAAAATGAATGATGAAATGATTCAATTAAAAATGAATAAGTAATAGAATTGCAAAACTACTACTGAAATATACTACTGAATAATTGATTTTTGTATTGGTTGCTTAATGTTTAGGACTGCAATTGATCAGTCTCTTTCGATACTGTTTGCCTCGATATTGCCTTCAGTCACAAATATTATAAGCTGAAATGAAGCGAATGGTACTGTGTTTGAGTTTCGCTTGCTTACTTACTTACATTCTTACGCCTGGTACTCCCAATGGAACAAAGGCCACTGACCAGCATTCTTCAACACATTCTGTCTTCAGCTTTCCTTTCTAGTTCTATCCAATTCTTATTCATTATTCTCATGTCTGTCTCTATTTCTTGGCGTAATGTGTTCTTGGGTCTTCCTCTTCTTCTTTTGACCTTCAGGATTCCATGTGAGGGCTTGTCTTGTGACGCAGTTAAGTGATTTCCTCAAAGTGTGCCTAATCCACTTCTTGCTTATTTCTTCCTCCTCTGGAATCTGGTATGTTATCTCCCACAGTAGAATGTTGCTGATAGTATGTGACCAATGGATCTGAAGTATTTTGCGTAGACAACTGTTAATAAACACCTGTATCTTCTGTATGATGGCTTTCGTAGTTCTCCACGTCTCCGTCCCATACAATAGAACTGTCTTCACATTTGTACTAAAAATTCTCACAGTGAACATTATCTCTATGATGTAGGTACATCTAGTTGACAAGTCTCATGCAGGACGAAACACGAGTCAAACTGGATTTCACTACTAACTACTATTCATCTTTACCTATAATTTATCTTTCATATTTGAAATCATGAGTCAATTGAAGCTCGACCACCATGGAAAAACTTGGAAGTACGGCTTTAAGGCCGTTTCATCCTATTATGGGACTCCTCAGCAGTGAGCATGCACGATCCCGCACTCGTGAGATTCAAACCCAAGACCTACCAGCTTTGCGCTGGAGCACTTAACTTTTCAACTATGAAAATACTAAAATATCCACACAAACCTCTTCTGATTTATAATTTATCCTTTACACATATATAAATATGATTTATAATTTAAGTAACCGATTGCAATATTGAATTCTGTCATTTGTTTATAGATCCTTATCAAAATTAATAATTTTAAAAGAAGAACTGATAGTTACTTGGGAAACAAACATATACAGATTCATAATGGATACTAGTGCACACCCATGGGTATTAAGATAAGGAAACAAATGGAAAAATGAAATGAAATGTCTGTCATCTAAGGTGCATTTATTATCATCTTATACATAACCTATGAATGTACTATAATAAATAGATAAAATGGATAGTTGAGATTGGAAATACGGAAGGTTGATATTTGTTTTTAAGGGAGTAGTTTGAATTGTATTCTATTTCATATGAGAATGAAGCGTTTGTGAGTGAGATCGAAGATTTTGGATCCGAATCCCGTGAGCAGGATCATGGATGTGCACTGTTGAAGAATCTGTTAATAGGATGAAACGGTCGTCCTTGACTTCCAGGTTTTTAATGGTGATTTAACACCAATCGATTCATGGTCTCTAATTTCATTAACTTTCACTATTAATAGAAATCTATTTGGATAAATAAAGAGAATAGTTATAGTAATAACATAACGCCTGTGGCTCCTCCGAGACTCTATTGCTGGTATCAAGCTAGGATAAAGTAGGAGGGTCAGCATAGGATTAGCGACCCTATCCAGTAGAAAACTAATTCTCTAAAGAAACGCTAACCAGAATAAAAATATTCCAGTGGAGGAAGGAACGCTGAAAGTGTGTAGGATACACATTGAGTAAATCACCCAAATGCGCCACCAGGCAAGCCCTCATATGAAATCCTGAAGGCTGAAGGAGAAGAGGAAGATCCAAGAACACATTACTTCGAGAAATGGGGACAGATATTAAAAAAAATGAACAAAATTGGAATAGAACTAGAAAGAAAATCTTAGGACAGAATGTGTTGTAGAATGCTGATCGGTGGCCTATGCTCCATTAGGAGTAATTGGCGTAAGTAAGTAATACAATGACTATTTCATTAACTAATATTGACCTATAAAGAGAACATATATACCTAGTGATATAACAGGTATACCTAGTTTTTTTTCCATCACAACAAGTTTCAAAAAAGAAAACTTTTTTTTTTCTTAAAACTAAACAGGTGTTCATTAACTTTGATTTACATTTTATAATATATATAGAGAGAAATAAAATTGTGTGTGTGTGTGTGTGTTGATTGATGTCGGTTAGTAATAGTACCGATATATATATGTATAAATGTTGTCTCCTAATTAATTTTTTTGTTATGATATCACTATGATATTAAGGGTATGTTATTGAGGATAAAAAAAAAGAAGAACGAAAAAAAAGTAAACATATGGTCCTATCCATATGGATACATATAGAAAGAGAGAGATGAAGAACCAACTGCCCCCCCCCCGTAATCCCCCCTTGTATAGATAGGTATATGTATTAGTGTTGATATATATATATATATATGCTTTACTGTATGTAATGGTGTTGCTTTTTTTGATACTGTTGTGGCTTTCTTTTTACTGTTGACAAAATTTGGCCTTTTAATGGTTTTGTTACTTTAGTAATCAAATTTGAATGTTTTTTTCTTTTTTTTTTAGAATTTATTAATAAATTAAAACTTTAACATTTGCACAGTTCTAAAAAAGGATTCCTGATTATTTGCCATCAACAGTAGTAGGATTAGTGTGAGTAGTAGTATTCATAGTATTAATAGTAGTAGCAGTAGTCAAGATATATCAGAGGAAACTTTATTCTTTTGTGCATTGAAAGCTTGACGAAAGAGAGTGATGATGAAAACGAAAGAATATAAGTAGAGATGGGTTACTGATGA